AATGGCAAACAAGTGATGAAATAGTGGCCAAAATCGGTGTTAATCTGTGTTTGTGTTTGTGTTCAGTGAAGGCATGAATACATTCAGCCATACATTCAATACTGTATTCATTCGCCTCAATGTTAGCACTGTTTAGCACTGATTCGCACCAATCGTACAGACATTACATTCAATACACGGCTTACACAGCGATTGCCATTCAATACAACCATTCAATGCATCCAATGCTCACTCTCTCTCACTCTCACTCTCTCATCCATTCAACACTAATTACGTTCACTTTCACTACTTTTGCTTAATTTATCATTTAATTAAACGGTTTATTAAACATCAATCAATTCATGAATACATTACACGAGTATTAATAAAAAAAACTTCAAATACAAGAATCGGTATTAAAGGCAAACTGTGTTCACATGTATTGACACATCCATTGAAATGCATTGAAATGAGTGGACGTAATAAATGTGGCAAAAGTGGTGTCAATTGTCTCGCATTGACTGATATCAACAGAAAAGATGGCGGACTTTGAAAACGATTACTTAATTGATGGCAAATCTCTGTATTCTCTTCGTGTGATCGACTTGAAGGAAGTGCTGACCAAACGGGACGTCCCCTACAAGAAGAATGCAACCAAAGCCCAACTCCAGGCTCTCGTCATTCAGGTATTCACTGACACTCTTCCGCCCCTTCGGTGCCGCTCTTTTCGGCCCACGTTTTTACCACTCTTTGTCTCATGTTTTCAATTGATTTATAACTTGTATTAAACTATTTGTGAACTGTTTTCCAGTATTTGAATGAAGCGAATGAAGAGAAGTCCAGCGAAGACACCATACAATCGGAGGAAACCAATGAATCGATTGGTGGCGCGAATGACATCCCAAAGAGTGATGACATCAATAATGAACAGAATTTATGTCCACAACAGACGGAAGCGACGGATTTGAGTCAAGACGCGGGCATCACATCATCGGTCTCTTTCGGTGACAAGCATTCAATCAAATTAACCATTAAATTACAGCCAAATGAGAGCCCAAACAGACAGTTGAGTCCCAAGAAGTCGCCGGTCAAAGAGATGAGGTCTCCAGGCGTTGACTCTTTCAATGCTGTTAGCGATGCGGTTAGATCTCCGGTCAGATCTCCCGTGAAGTCTCCGG